ATTAAAAAATAAAAAAAAACATGATTTGCATTCCTCAAAGCCTTGTGCTTTTTAACTATTATAATAATCACTGTATTCGATCGAATTTCTAGAGTTTTCATAAAATTAGTTTTTTTTTTGGGGGGGTAATAAATATAAAAAAAAAAATATTTTTGCCATGACTTTAAAAAAAAAAAAAAAAAAAAAAAACATATTTATAATAATTTCGATCATCTGTGAATAGTTTCTGAAAGTTTCATTAACATCCGACAATTATTCTTATTTTTGCAAAGATTTTTTAATCAAATTAATGTGTGTCAAAAAAAAAAACGTAATTTAGCTGAAAATTTAGATGATAAAATTTTACTAGTTCCGGTGATACAAACTTTTTTTTTTTTTTTATTTTTGATTATGTCACCAAAATTAGATTTCATGTTTCCAGTGTAAGTGAAGTTATCAATTTCTGACCACTGGCAATTCTTTGTTTCATGATTTCCAGTGCATTTGTAGAAAAAAATTATTACTAGTAGCATACGTAAAAATAAACGACATCATCAGAAGAGGTTTGGATGCAGCTGGGTTCCCTTCCCAAATCGAACCCGTAGGCCTTGACTGTGGTGATGGAAAGTGGCCAGATGGCATTACCATTTTCCCTTTTAAAATGGGGAAATTGTTGATTTGGGATGTGACTTGTGTGGATACATTTTCAGCCGGTAATTTGATCAGGTCTGTGGTTGAGCCCGGGGTCCATCGCCTAGGACACAGCGATGAAAAAAAAATAGTTAAATATTCTTCTCTTACTGATAGATTTTTTTTACTCCTGTGGCAGTGGAGACTTCTGGGGTTATTGGCCCTTGTTTGATGGCGTTCCTTCAGAGGATTGGCGCGATGACATCTTAATTAAGGGATGAGCCTCGTGAAACGGAGTGGCTCTTGCAGTGTGTCTCACTGGTGATGGTTCGAGGTAATGCTTTCTCCATCATTGTGGCTGGCAGAGGATAGCAAAAAAAACAATATTTTGTTTATAGTTACTTTGTTTAAACTTTTGTCAATAAATAATTTTCATTTAATGAATAAATAAGATCCTCAAAAGTTCAATAACTACAAAATACCTGTTGATCTTCTCTACTGTATTTTTGAATGTTTTTTTGATGTCAACGAACACTTGTTGCCACTTTTGTAATGTTAACAAATACTTGTTGTCACTTATCGTAATGCTCATTGTAGTAGAGACTTTGTAATCGCAGATACAACTATAGTAATGCTGTTGAACAATACTGGTGTCAGATGCCTTTGAATAACGCTCACATTAATAGTACTTGCTCGGTAATACTTGCTAAAAAAATAACCTCCGTATATTTATAGAGGATAGAATAGAAATGGTGATCTGTTAGATGCCGCACTAATTCCCATATATGCATTTCCTTTACCATCACGTGATCTACTTATCAAAAATGGGATTGCCTGTGTTTGCTCTCTGGCGATCTATGTTCAAACTCAAGTGTCAGCAGTGACACTTTATTTCTATATAACAGAATGCAATCATCAGTTGATATGTGTTGGTTGGACTTTACATATGTTTATATATGCTGGTCAATGGAGCATTATCCATAACAAGGTTACATATTATCCTAAGTTTATAGGTAGGTGGCAATGGTTATATTTCAAATTATTTTAAAGGCAATTGATTAGAAATAATAGTTGTTTGGAATGCCATTATTTGTAGCTATTGTATACTGTTGTTTAACCTTTGACATGTTATTGATTACTTGGGTATTTTGAATTTATACAATAATTATTTGTTGTTTATCATTATTAATCTATTATAATTGTGCTTGTCCCTGTCGTTGCTAGTTTGCACGACCATTATGTCTTGCCAATACCTCATAAATAATGGACTATTCCTTTTGATTGCATGATAAGAGGGGTAAAGGAACTGCTTGGTTTCAGTGAGAAAATGAAAGAACGAAACAAAGAATGAATGATAGCAGTAGGGAGAGAATCATATTAAACTGATAAGAACAGATATTATGCTTTGATCTTAATATTTATTTGCATAAATAGTACAAAATGTGCCTCAATGGCTAAGATGGGGGTGGGGGGATGGGGAAGACTCGTCTTTTCGAGTCATTGTTATTATTGCATGCATTTATAGTTTAATTTGTTTGTTTATCTTAATATTTTTTTTTGGGGGGGGCGGTGATTGTCTTATTGTTTAATTTAAGGTATTGGCTAAAGTAATTGACAAATTAAAAATCTATGAATGCACATATAAACATAGATATCACCACAGAAAATGGTATACCTAAAGTTTAAAGTTAATTTTTTTAAAAATGAAAAATCTTTCTTGAAGATTTTATTTTAGTTTTAATTTCAAGCTAATGGATTATATTTAATATTTTCAATAAGCAAAATAAATTGACTGGAAGGTTTGTTTTTTTTTGGGGGGGGTCCTTAGCTAATTAACTTTTTTTTTTTTTTTTTTTTTAATTATCTTTCTTCTAAATATAATTTTCTTTATTAAAAAAATCTTCCAAAAATAAAATATACTTTACTGAAACTTTATTTGAAGAATATTAGCTGATTTAAAGTATAATTAATTAATTTGATTTGAAACAAATATTATTTATAGTGATTTTCTAAGCATGGCTTAGGTGTGGCACAAGGCCGAAAGTAAGAGGTACCCAGTGAGGAACACTCACTACTCAGTCGTAATTGATCTAGCAAGATAAGCTTCCTAACCATTACACCATGTTGAAGTGCTAAACAAATATTATTTATATATAGTTTAAAATACCACAGAAATCCATTTTTTTGACACAGTGACAGCTGTTTATTAAAGCTGTTGACATGTTTGACTTCTTGATGACTATTTAATGTTGTTCTGTAGAGACTTTAGCCATAAAAAGTAATTTAGTATAACGTGAGCTTGTTTTATATATGATTTTTAAGTACTCATTAATCTTAAAGATTCAAGGAAATATTCTCTGTAATGTAATGATTTAAATTTTAGATATTCACTGGCTTTAAATTTACTGTAGTTATCGTTCTTATTTTCCAGTAATACGTATATACAAAAAAAAATTCAAATTTCTTTTTAAAATATTTATGTTTGATGATTTGTACTTAGCTTTTCTATTTATGATTAGTAAATATAGTTTTTATTTAATAATATCATCTGGATGAGTGAAATTAATACAGAATTTTAAAATATTTAAAACTTAATAAATTATTCTAATTAAAATGTCAAAAAAATGAAAATAGTACTTGTAAAAATTCATTATTCATTGAAAAAACTTTTTTCTTTAGACAATAGTGTCCTTAATATAATAAAAACACTTAAAAGCTTTTCTAATTAAATAATGTCATAGTTTTATTGTATTTTTTATTTTATGATTTTCGGTAAATGCTGTTTCTGTTTGAGAAAAACAAATTAAATTCTCCAAGGAGTCCTGCTTTTAACTAATATAAATATGAAGAGGGTGAAATTTTAATTTCACAAAATTAAGTAAATGGTTGTAACAGATGAAACAAAAAATTTTTTACCAAGATTTTCTCAAAAAAAAAAAAAAATTTAAAAATAATTTCATTTATTTGTGAATAAGTCCTGATAATTTCATTAAAATCTGTCAATTATTTGATTTTTGCAAGAATTTCCAAAACTAATTTTTTTACTGCAAAAAAAGTTGTTAAATTTCCTATATTAATCTTAGGCTCACCTGCTGATACAAGAAAAACAAGATTTTTAATCAAAATTTTGAACATGCTAGAAAGGATTAAAAAAAATTAATAAAATAATCAAAAAATGCTTTGGTCTTTCTTCTTAATAATAACATAAACATTTTGCTGATAAAACTTTGTTTTTATCAAGTTTGGGGCCTTTTTTGTCCTGGTATGCTGAATTTTTGGAGGTACCTACAAGTAAATGTAAAACAGCAAATAATTACTAAATACAAAATACCCTAAGTAATCAATAATAAATAATGTATCAAAAGATAACAAACAACACTATACAATAGATACAAATAACCATATTCTAACTGACAATTATTTCTCATCAATAGCCTTTAGAAAAATCATACTTATTATAAAACCAAGGTTGTGTGTGTCTGTTCGTTTATATATTGGATCGGATTTCCTACATTTTTCAACTGATTTCAAAAAAACTTCACAGGACTACGTAAAATTACCTTGTGGTGGTTCTGACAGCGCCAAAAATCGGAAAAAACACAATTGTTTTTGCACAAAATCAATTTGAAAACACGATTAAGAGGCATCGCTGTCACAAGAATGAAAGGGGGACAACTCATATAGAGTTATACTTATTATAAAACCCAGGTTGTTTGTGTGTGTGTGTGTGTGTTCCTTTATATATGGGATCGGATTTCCTACATTTTTCAACTGATTTCAACAAAACTTCACTTTTTTTGGCAGTTAGTGTTTCTTATTGTCTTGCACACTTTTTTCTTTATTTTTACATTCAGAATTCTTTAAAAATTCCATTTATAAGACAATTGTTTATAATAAAATTCTATTCAATCGGTAGACTCATAACAATTGAAAACAATATTTTTGTTTGAGTTTGGGTTTGACCAATTTGTAAAAAAAAAAAAAAAAAACTAATTAAGACATGCGTAAAAACATGTGTCCCGTCAACCTTAAACAATAATCATAATTTTCAGTCTTTATGATGGTTGATACTTGATCTATCTCTTACTGTTACATCCCCGGGCAATGCCGGGCTCTACTGCTAGTTTGTAATATAACCCTTTCCACTGACCCAATAACCATTAGGATAATACAAATAATCAGAAATACTTAATTTTACTACCCATAATGCATCATTGAACAGCATATATAAATAGTTAAGTAGCCATGTAACACACATAACCTGAAGATTGTGTTGAAGCATTAAACAGACTGTCACCACTCGGTGTTGACCACACACACACACACATGTATTTGTGTGCTCCAAAATAAATTTATATCTTTTATTAATTTCAGTACGAGTTGTTCAAACAATGGGAAGAAAAAAGACATTGGAACTTGCCTACATAACAGAAGACATTGAAGATTCTGGAGGAATGTTGACCAATGTAAGTAGAAGATTTTAGAAGTTTCTTTGTACTTTCAAATTTAAAAAATAACCGATTAGTACAATCTTTTTTCATTTTTTTTTCATTTTTTTTGGTAAAGTTTAACATTCTTATTCTGTGTCAAAAGGACAATTTTTTTCCCTTAACACCACTATTACTGCATATTGCAGGGGTGGCCAAACTTGCTTCAGGTAAGAGCCGCATACGATAAAAGTTCAGATGTTTGAGAGCCACAAGGCATGAACAAAATTTACACATCCATTTTTGTTCCATACGCATATATATATATATATATATATATATATATATATATATATATATAGCAAATGTTTTCAAAATCTTGACTGATGATAGTTCCAGCATGGGTATGACGATAAACTAATCTGCGTCCTGGGTAAGACGATAAATATGTCTAACAGCAAGGCCTCTGATCAGGAGGTTTTGAGGCGTGTGAAACCACCTCTTAATTGCACCTGTTAGGGTCCCAGCTATGGGCAAATAATTAACCCCCAAACTGGAGTCAAAACACTATGAAAGTGTGAAAATAGGTTTTAATACTATAAATACTTTGTAAAAAATTATTACCGGCAATAAATATTTAAAGAAAAATAATTACCAGCTAGACATTTTTGGGAAAAAAAAAAAAAAATATTACCAGCCATAAAAATCTTGGCATTAAATAACCCTTTGAGGTTGATATGACGTAAAACAAACCAAACCAAATCTGATGATTCTTTTGACTCTATTGAGCCTATTTAATACAGTAATGAATGATGGGAAACTTCTAAGTAAAAATGTGCAAATTTGCATTTCAGTTAACATAAAATTATATATGTACATAACATGAGTTCAGTCCCCTTAATCCTTTTATCTATGACCTCAGTCTTCTGACATTTCTCTGTAACCCTTGCTGATCGGAAATTTCTTTAATCTCTCTGCTTCCAACCATTCCTTTCTTCAGCACTAAAGATCAATGCCTCACTCAGATCTAGCATTAAAATTAGGATTTAAATTCTTAAATATTTTTTACTAATCATGAACATTAAACTTAGGTTTTAATCCAATGGCATCTCAATTCAATTCTACAATTGTGGGAAGATATAATTTTCTCCATATTACTTACACATGAATAACTAATTTTCAGTGTCATCCTATTGAAAGTTTTATATAGTGGATGTTTACTATTAAAGTGTTTCTCTATTAACCTTAGAAAGAAACTTCTTATATCAATGTTAGAAAGCCTGCAATACGGTGGGTTAAACCATATTACTTTCTTCTTTCTGTTTTTAGATCTATTGTTACTATGATTTTCTAGTTCTTCGTTATAGTTTAATTCCTGTCTAAAAACACTATTTTTGAGAGCCTGGTTGTATATAAATTTATTTTCTTTAAAGATTTTTTGGCTAGAGATAGCCTATTTATTCTCGTATTCACAGTTTTGGGGATGTGATATGTTACAGATTTTGGGTGGTTAGAGTGGACATTGATGTATAGGGGTGTCTGATCAACTTTATGGAAGGGCTTAAAAGTCTCATTAGGGAGGTTTAGGGTGATATCTAAAAAGTTGACTATTTTAAGGTTAGAAGATAATTCAATCTTAAGTCCAAGGTATTTGAAGGTCCTAATGATCCTCTTATGTAAGCTGGAAGTCAAGAGACCATTGCTGTTAGGAACAATGATTAAGCCATCATCTCTATAAATTCCAACTTGCTTAAGGTTAACTACTCTAATCAAGGTGTCTAAAATATATCCACTAAATCTGCAATATGGGCAGAGTTGAATGCTCCCAAAGGTACATCGAAATTTTCATTATTTTTCTTCATCCAAGTAGCGTCATTGTATGTAAGTATTGATCTTCTAGACATTAAAACAATGTCCAGATCATTTTCCGTTATTTCAGTATATCTTTTAGTGAAATTAAGGCTGTTAATTAATGGTTTCTCTGAAATAGAAGGGTAAAAATCCAAGATGTCAAATTGAATGAAAATAGATTTCCTTTTATTGGGGATCTTTAGGAACCATTTAATCATCTCAGCCGAGTCCTTCCAAAGGTTGACTGAATATTTATCCAGAACGCATGAAGTTATTTTCTTAAGAATGCTCTTAAAAATTAATCCCAACTCAGATTTAGAGGGATTAATTAAACGGGACTGCAAGCTATTGATAAAGTTTAGTTTGTGATCTTTGAATAGAATGTATGCATCTTTCATATATATATGTGAACATGTATATGTATGTATGTGCAAGTAGACATAGATATGTTGTTGTGTATGTGTATATCTATGTATGTGCTTTTGGGCATATAAATAGTAGGTCCTTATTAGATGAAATATTCGTTAATTTTTATATGTTTATGTTAAATTTGTAACCTGTAGGTGATGTTACTTGCTTTGCCAAATTTTCTTGATTACACATCAGTTCTCTTATAAATGCCCTTCGTTGGATCGTGATTACGATTCCAATGTAATAATTTATAACCATGGAATATTAGTGTTTGAGCCTTTTTTATTATATTCTTACTCTGTCCTGGACACTGAGTTCTACCTGGATTCTGTCCTCTTAGGAATTTATATATATATATATATATATATATATATATATATATAGACCACTACTATTATCTGTGTTTTTTTTTTGTTGGAAGATTAATATCACACAAAGCAAGGTGGGTTTTGCCTGATAGAGGATTGTCATGTTTTGAGGCAAGGTTTTACAAGGACAGATGCTCTTTCTGATGCCTCAGTCAGATATTCGCAGTAGTCCAAGTACATCAAGAGTTTTTATTGAGATGCCATCTCCAGGAAGCTTGCCATTCAAGACTTGAGATAACGTCCTCTATCCTCAGAATGTGTGTGTGTGCATGTGTATATATATATATGTGTGTGTGTGTGTGTGTGCATGTGTATATATATATATATATGTGTGTGTGTGTATATATATATATATATATATATATATATATATATATGGCTGTTGGCACCTGTAAGAAGTTCATCCACCCTTTGACGGGTTGTTTTTTTTGTTCTGCAGGGTGACATGTCATTTAAACACAATGTCAATTGTTATTACTTTCTTCTTAATTCCTCTTCTTTTATTGTTCTCCCTCCTTAATAATGTTTTCTTTTTCTCATATTCTTTCACATTCTATAAGTCTCTGCATCTTAATGGCTTTATTCCCTTTTTTGAGAGTGAAAGGATTAAAATAAAATAAAAAAATATTGGGCACTTAACTGTAGTGCAATGTTTGATGGCATAGTTATACAGCCCATTCATTCACAAAGGACTTGAGTACCCTAGTATTGTGGCCCTGTGCCAGTCTAAGCAAAGTAAATATATATATATATATATATATATATGTTTATACATTCTTTTTATAGATACAAATAATTAAGTAAATGCTCTGTTTATAATAAACAGTATTAAGCAACATTTACCCGTCTGAATGTCTGAGAAATTTTCATAGAAAATATTTTTCCTCCGACAGGATTCGAACCTGTATCCTATACAGAACCGTCATATAGCTTGACGTGCCTTTTAACCAATTCAGCCACAGAGGATCGTTCGGTTAGCAAGGTCGAATTTACTGTTTATAAACTTCAATCAGCCATGAATCTCTCACGTACATTCATATCTGCTTATAGCGTATCAAATGTAAACAAATGACATCACAAAGTCCAACAATTATTTTAAGACATTTTTATCTATAAAAAGAATGTATAAACATAAAAAATGTCTTAAAATAATAATATGTATATTCATTAATATATTCTTAATAGTTCTGTTATATAAGATTGAGCACTGTTTTTATAAACCTGAAAAAAAATATATATGTACATGCAAATTATATGTATATTTTTATCATTTATCATATCCATACCCACATATCTCTATCTATCTATCTATCTATCTATATATATATATATATATATATATATATAATAATGGACATGTGACAGTGGTCAGAGGATAATTGGCCAAAACTCTGTATTTAAAATAACATCTATATAACTCAAAGATAAAAAAAAATTAATTATTTGTAATAACTGATCTTTTTTTTTGCAATGTTATTACAAAAATGAAAATATCTGTTGAATTACTACCCATTAAATTCATTTTCATTTTTTTTTTTTTTTTTTTTTTTAGAATGGGGACCGTCGAAGAACTCCAGGAGGTGTCTTTTTCCAGATTCTCAAAACTGATCCTTCTTTTACTAAAGAGAAAATGAAGGCTGTATTTGGAGATGAAATGAAAAAAGAAGCCAAAAGAAAGAAAAAATTACGGTATGTTTTTTTTTTTTCTAAGTGTGACAAGGTATTGCATATATCAACAAATAGTGTACTTTTTTAATTTGATCTAAAAATTATAAGAATTCCTTTTTTTATTTAAAAAAAATAGAAGATATTGCATATGTTAATCAAAAGTTATATATATATATAAATACAAATGTCAGTGTGTCACTGTGTCTCACTTTTTCAACTTTACTCCTAGAGGCTATAGCTCAACATATACCATTTTGGAATCAGGCTGACTCCGTGAGCAAAATTAAAAATATTCTGGGCTGGATCTGGACCTGTAATCCTGAAATTTTGAATTCCCAAATTTTCATCACTGCGATTGTTTTCAAATTCTACTGTCTTGGCTTCTACTGATAAAAAAAAAAAAAATTAAAGGGACACAACTCTCTAACTTTCAATAGCTCATGTTCAAATGAGAAAATTATTGTTCTCAAATTACAGTGTTTCAAAATAAAATTATCTGTGTTTTTAGCTTTCCTCCCAACATTTAATACCATTTTGTAATCAGGCTGACTTTTTATGGACCCACAATCCTGAAATTTTTTTGATACAATAACAATTTTTATAACTTGGAAATACATTTGGGAATAATCAAAATTAATTTCGAAATCCAGCAAAAGTCACCCATGAAATAAAAATAATTGTTTGTATGGAAAGTAAGGACCTGCTTACATCAAATTGTCTTTAAATTAAGTGGCAGCAGAAGAATTATCATTGAAGTTTTAAAAGGTAAGCTGAGATATTAATGCAATACTTAAATGCAGTGACAAATTTTGAGTTCTTTCATAGTTTGTTGTTGTCTATTACATCTACTTCTCCCTAACTATTGTGATGAAGATCCAATCAAGAGCCCTCTGCATGGGCTGAGTTTAAATGTTGCCCAATAGGGGAGGTTTTTAAGCTAGTATATATATATATATATATATATATATATATATTAAATATAAAATATAATAGACAATGAATGTCTATTCTGTTTGATCATGAGCTGTTCGAAGCTTTGTATAGTGGCTTTAGTTTTGGGAGAAAATAAAGACAAAAACTGTCCAACATTTGGATATTTTTTATTATGCTGTTCCTCAATCTGAGCTTTCGACTCAAATGAACCATCATCAGAGTGGCTATATAGACATTACAACAGAGATGCTCACCATCAAAGATGACATCCTGTTATGTTTACATAGAAGTTTGTGACGTGATGATAATGGTTGTGGAATAGTAGATGCAGGTCATAAATTTATAATGCAGTTCTATGACATCATATATGACCACATGAGAGAAAGAAATGTTATCAACAGAATCACGCGTTTAAATGTTAGACAGTTTTTGTCTTTATTTTCTCTGAAACTAAAGCCACAATATGAGGCTTAGAACGGCTCATGATTAAACATAATAGACATTTGTTGTCTGTTATATTTAACAATATATGTTCGAATAATGATCTGCTGCCCTAATACACTATATATATATATATATATATATATATATATAAAACACTATACACACACACACACACATATATATAAACACTATACACACACACATATATATAAACACTATACACACACACACACATATATATAAACACTATACACCATATATATATATATATATATATATATATATATATATATATTTAGTAGGACGTGTTCCAGTAAATTATTATTATCTCCAAAAAATTCTTACAATCCAAAAATATTTTCTGACTTTAAATAACCTGCAAAAGGTTGATAAACTGTAAAAATCCAATCAATTAATCCAAGCTGCTATCCCCTTAGAACAAAGGTTCCTTATTGACGTTAAATTCAATTCAGACTATTGGGTATTTCTTGGTATTAATCATATGTACACTAGTAATTATTATTAACTTTTATTACAGGCTTACTGTACAATCACTGAAGTTAAGCAACATCGAGCCTGGTTAGTACCTAGATGGGTGATCACTTGGGAATACCAGGTGCTATAAGCTTGGATGTGTGGGTGGGTTAAGGGATAATGGCTTGGAATTGTTAATCAGAGAGCCAAGTTCCAATTCCAGTTGGGTTTGTTATATTCTCTTACATGCAAATACCCTTGGGAAACTTATGAATTCACCTCTTCCCCCTAGTTATGGGTTAATTAGTAAGACTTGTATCACTACACCTTTATTATCTTCAAAAAAAATTCTTACAATCTAAAAGTGTTTTCTGGTTTTAAATAACTTGTAACGGGTTGATAATCCATAAAAAACAAACCTTTATTACAGTATAGTCTGTGATTTATAACTTGGTTGTTTAGTTTCTAGTGGCATTGGTAGTATATTCTTTGAGTGTCTTCTCGTTTAATTCATAGTTATTAAAAGAAAAGAAATCTGTGGACAGCCATGATTGCAAACATCCTGAAAGAACATAACATAAAAAAAAAGATTGTAATTAACTTTGATGTCTCTTTTCCTCTTTGCAGAGCCAAGCGCATTAAACTCTCTCTTCAAAAGAAGAAGAACATTTCTGCTGAAGATGAGGATGCCATGGAAATGGAGAATGCTGCGGATGCTTCACAGTCGATTGGAGAGCACCAGAGTAAAAATGATTGCTTAGATGATTGTGATGACGAAAATTCCAAGGACGCTTCACGTGGAAGTTCGGAAGCTTCAAATTGTCCCGATCCAGAAACAATGGACTTATCAGATCTTCTGAAGCACCACGTCGAAAGACGTCGTGTTGAGGAAGAAGAAGAAGAAGAAGAAGAAAAAAAAAAGGCAGCAGCAGAGCACAAAGAGGAAAGAATCGAGAATCAGTCAGCAGAGATGCAGCCAAAGGAGTCATTGCCATTCTTGGAGCCCGATATCTGTTTGGATGATGAATCAGAAATGACATTTGATTTGTGAGAAGCATGTCCTTGGAGCTTTCCAGTGAGGGCAATAACTTTGTTAATCTTTATTTTCTCCTTTCACTACTGCCATGGAGTAGAGGTTAAGCCTCTGATCAAAATTTAAGGGTCCTTTTTTTTATTTCTATTTGCTAGTCACCACCAAAAGATAATGTTTGTAATTTTAAAATGCAGAAAAGGAAATAGAAGCAAAAAAAAAAAAAAAGGAAGATATTCTCTTTAAAAACAGATTTCTATTTTTTTTTATTATTAGTCATTTGTCACCGCCATAAAAAAGGTAAACCCCTAACCCTGGAAAGGAAATATAAAGCAAAATTTAACATATCAATTTCCACTGGTTATGAAAATGTTGACCTGGTGGGTATTAAAAAAAAGAAAAAAAAATCCTTTATCCCTTATTGCTAATTTTTTTTTAAAGCCTTTTTGGGGAAAACCTGACAATTGATCTGGAACCCGGCAAAAAAGACATACAAGATTGAGTTTTCTGGAGGAAGATCAAGCTGCTTTTAATTCTCCAAGATCTAGTTGCTGTTAAAATTTGAACTGGAGTTAACATGCCTGACCCCTTCTTTAGGCTTCCGTTCTATAAAATTTGAAGTGAAATTGACATCCCTGGCCTCCTTAGGCTTCTGTTCTATAAAATTTGAACTGGAGTTAACATGCCTGACCCCTTCTTTAGGCTTCCGTTCTATAAAATTTGAACTGGAGTTAACATGCCTGACCCCTTCTTTAGGCTTCCGTTCTATAAAATTTGAACTGGAGTTAACATGCCTGACCCCTTCTTTAGGCTTCCGTTCTATAAAATTTGAACTGGAGTTAACATGCCTGACCCTTTTTAGGCTTCCGTTCTATAAAATTTGAACTGGAGTTAACATGCCTGACCCCTTCTTTAGGAACTGGATTCATGCCTAACTTCTTTAAAAAAATTTGAACTGGAGTTAACATGCCTGACCCCTTCTTTAGGCTTCCGTTCTATAAAATTTGAGCTGAAATTGACATCCCTGACCCCCTTAGGCTTCCGTTCTATAAATTTATGGATGTTAACTTTTGGTGGGTACTAATCAAAAATAGTTAAACTTAGTTTTATGTCTTTGTAAAGTTCTACCATCTCAGCAATTTTTTTTTTTTTTTAATGGTTGTAGTTCAAAGAAACGATCTTTCATAGATTTTTTTTGTTTTTGTTTCCTCAACTGTTTTAAGGCAAATTTGGAAAATTTTCTTGTTCATGTAATTCCAGATTAAAAGCTATCAAGTCTGGATTTTGGGGAGGCTATATCAAGTGTTGCCCACATGTAATCCATTGCCATTAAATTTTTCATTCAGAAATTCTCTTAACTGGAGAATAAAATGTAGCTTGTCGTGCGGAGGAATTTTTGAGTCTTTTAAATCTCTTCTCTGCAATGTAATATGAACCATTTCATGAAGTAACAAAAAAAAAAAACTAATGCCCAGTAAGTTAATTTGCAGAACTTTTCCCACCTACCAGGATTTCATGCCAATCTTGGAGGCTTTAGAGGTGGTTTACAGTCCCCGAGGTATCAACTGTTGTGGATTTTCAGAAAAGATAATTTCTTACTTGACTCTTAGCTTCATGTGCATTTTCTCAAATTAAACCATTTTTAAAAATCATATTCATTTTTTTTAAATTCCCAAATCCATTTTCTAATTTTTTTTTTTTTTTAACATTAAACAAAAAAATACACTCATAATTTTTAAGTAAATATTTTTTTTTAACTAATTTTTTAAAATTAAAAAATATCTACTTGAACTTCTTGAGTTTATTTATTTATCAACTTCCTCAACAAAATTAAAAAAACCCAAAAAACTGCCATGATATTTGTACTGTTTAATAACATATTTGCTGTGTCCAAAGAATTCATGTTTCAAATTTCTTCAACATATTTTAATTATACCCAATCTGTAAACAGCTTGTGAAATACACACTTCTGCCATTAGTAAAATAGTCTACTCATTGCTTTCTTGGACATACCAACATGACCACTACAATCAAGTAGTAGTCTTTTTTGTTTTCAAAGAGTCAAGATAGTTGTAGTCAGCTTTATCTTGTATTCAAGAATTTAATTTCTTCTTTACTGACTGCTTCTTTTATGATGATGGTGTTGATGACTAAATAGGCCAATTCTGGTGACTTTGAAGTTTTTGATGGTGATGTAACACTGCCAGTTGGTAATGTCTCGGGCTTGTTCATATATATATATATATATATATATATATATATATATATATATATATATATTGTGGGAAAAGGTTGTAGTTGTTCCAATCAGGGAAAAGTATATATTTTAAAAAGAACATAAACTGCAAATGTTTTTGGTTGAAATGTGGAATTTTTATTTTGAAAATATGTATTATACTCTATTTTCCATAATTCTGCTACACAGGTTTCTGGTTTCGCAAACTTCTTCAAGCAAAGAGTAGATATTATGTTCAAGAAAGACATTTGAATCACTACCACGCAAAAAAAATCATTTTATAATATGTGGAAATATCTACTCTTTGCTTGAAGAAGGTCACAAAACCAGAAACCCGTGTAGCAGAATTATGGAAAATAAAGTATAATATATATTTTAAAGTAAATAATCCACATTTCAACCAAAAACGTTTGTGGTTTATCTTGTTTTTAATACATACATACATACATATATATATACATACATACATACATACATATATATATATATATATATATATATGTGTGTGTGTGTATGTATGTATTGTAATAAAATGAAAGAACAGTAAGATATATAATCCAATGTTCTTATTGATATTTTTATTTTTACAAAACAGTGCTCAATGTAAATTTAAAAATGAACACGCTACCACCCCTGTCTAAATAATTGGATTTCTCTATATCCTTGGAAAAAAAAAAATTATGAATTGTATGTGTGTTTAAAACTAAGTAAATTTAAAAATAAGTTATTCCAAAATTCCATTGAAGATGAAACAGAACTAATGCTTTTAATTTAATTATATAATAGTTTTTAGCTTTGGTTTTTGAAACATAGTAATTCCTGTGTAGCGAAGAAATCATATTTTAAATCAGTTAATTTATAATATATATATATATATATATATATATATATATATATATTACAAATCCAGGCGAGAGAGCCAAGTTTACTCTGCTATTTAACCTATAGCTGGGAAGAGAAGAGACAGATTCATACAATTTCCCAAGGGTGCGAAAATGGAAACAACAAACTCGGAACATCAATTTTCATTTTCTACTTCTGATATCTGTTTCACTAGCTAGGTACTTATCAATAGCCATTTTCAGCTTTATCTTGTATCCAAAAATTTAATTTCTTCTTTGCTGATCTCTTCTTTTATGATCATGGCACTGATGACTAAGTAGACCGATTCTTGTATGGAAGAATCAATGACACTGACTGCCTGGTAATGTTGGTGAAGGACGAGGTTGATTTTGTTCAGTTTTTCCCTTTTATCATTTGACTTCTTCCTTTTGTTTTCTGATGGTTTCGAAATTTTTGGTTCTGATGGTGATAAAACACCACCAGTTGATACGGTCTCGGGCTTGTGTTTCAAACAATTTAAGCTCAAGTCCAGTAGCTTTCAGTGTTGAGTTGGTCCTTGTATCTTCAAAGAGGACAATCCCATCGTCTTTTCCCTTAAGTGAGTGCGGTGAATAAGAATTGACATGGAAACCTTGACTCTTCCATTCTTGCTACATGTCCTGACCATCGGCGTTTCATGATCAGCAATTCGATGCTTTGTGTCGAATTGAGATAGTAACATAATGGTTATTAGCACAAAAAAATGGAATTGGTGAGCAGAGTTCAAATTCTGGCCAAGTCAGCCTTGTTCATTTTTACCCTGATACCCTTGGAAGCAAGAATCCATCATTTCTCTCTTCAGCTTTGAAAGAGATAATAGATTAGGCACTCTAGTTTTTAGTGGGGTGAGTTGTCCAATTTGTGAAAAGCTGATGGAGGGGCCCCTGGAGTATGTTTAAGAAAAAAAAACAAAAAACGGAAATTCAGAGACTGCAGAGCAAACAAAAATTCCTCCTTCTTCTTATACATTTGATAGCAGCTTGGAATGAGAAGTTGGAAAGTCGAGTTCAAATTCCAGTTTATTACGTTCACTTGCAAAAAAAAAAAAAACCAAAAAAGAAAAACAAGTTTACTCTGCTAAAAGGTGCGAATCCATCTCTTCTGGAAAAGGTGCAAATTCATCTTACTTATTATAAAACCCAGGTTGTGTGTGTGTGTGTGTCTGTACGTTTATATATTGGATCGGATTTCCTACATTTTTCAACCAATTTCAACAAAACTTCACAGGACTATGTAAAATTACCTTGCGGTGGTTCTGACAGCGCCAAAAAATGGGAAAAACATGATTGTTTTTGCACAAAATCAATTTGAAAACACGATTCTGTCGCCAGAATGAAAGGGGGACAACAACATCGAGTTATACTGATAAAAACCCAGGTTGTTTGTGTGTGTGTGTTCATTTATATATGGGATCGGATTTCCTACATTTTTCAACTGATTTCAACAAAACTTCACTTTTTTTTGACAGGTAGTGTTTCTTATTGTCTTGCACACTTTTTTCTTTATTTTTACATTCAGAATGCTTTAAAAATTCCATTTACAAGACAATTGTTTATAATAAAATTCTATTCAATCGATAGACTCATAACGATTGGAAACAATGTTTTTGTTTGAGTCTGGGTTTGACCAATTCGTTAAAAAAAAAAAAAAAAAAACTAATTAAGACATTTGTGTCCGTCAACCTTAAACAATAATCTTTGTCAATTTTATTTTTCGGTCTTTATGATGGTTGATACTTGATCTATCTCTTACTGTTACATCCCCGGGCAACGCCGGGCTCTACTGATAGTCTATTCTAAGGCTTATGAGTTTAATAGTAAGATTTGTATCTGGAAAAAAATAAAAAAAACCTTTGTTTTCTCCAAAAAGTTGTTAATGCAATATTCACTTATATAAAAAAAAA